CACACACACACACACACACAAATACAAACGCACCCAGGATCACGCAAATGCAGGCACTGACAGGGCACAGATTGCTCTGTGCGGGGCCATCCAGCCGAGCGCAAGTCCCACCGGATGCCGTGGCCTGATGCCGGGATCCCTCAGCGTGCCGGAGTCCGGACGACCGACCCGGGCCTCCGTCACGCCCTCCCCCCGGTCCCTGGCAGAAGGCGGAAAGGCGGTCCCCCCAACATACACCCACACTTGCAGAGGTCCCTGCTGTCCATCGAGAGCACCCACCCCAGCGCGCACCACCACGGCAACTCGGCCCGGAATCGCCCGCTGCGGAGCCCCGGGGGTTAGCTTCGGATGAGCGAAAAACAGGCACATGGCGCAAGACCCTCCTGCCCAGCGTCGGGTGGCTGCCCACAAAAGAGGCAAAAGCAGGATCCGCACTTTATGATTATAAAAAAGATTTAATAGCCTTTTAATATCGTGGCCAAGGAGTGCCCGAAGTTGAGCACCTGCGGTCCGATTAACCCAGGGTGCAGATCGGAATGGTTAACCGAGAACATGCCGAGGAAGCCGGGCCAACCCCCCTGAGGGGCTCGCTCGGCGATGGGGAGTTGGGAGACAAACGTGTCCACGAGCATTTTCCCGCTTTCGTGCCCCGGGCGAGGGGGCCCAAACGCGCGGAAAGGCCCCACTCGACCGCCCCCCTCCATTCGCCTTGCCTCCTCCCACCCGCCCGCCAACCGACCTGCTCTGCCCCCCCACGGACCCCCCCCCCCCCCCGGTCCCACTCCACCCCCCGGTTTGGAGGACCAACAGCAGGCTGCTACAAGAAGGTGGTAGATTATTGTGTGCGGGCGGGGGCGCGTCGGGTCAGGGCGCTTCGTGCAACGGGCCAGGCATGTGGCAGGATGGGAAGGGGGAGGGCACAGGAGGAGGGAAGCCCGTCCTTGGTGCCCCTTGCGCGATCTCACGCCTTCCAATTCCCCCCGCCATCATGTCCGCGTGCCACGACTGCCGCTGCTACTTCGCGCAGTGCCGCCCCCCTCTACTCAGCGCAGAGGGAAGGCGGCCTCGCGGCGGAAGAAGGGCAGTAGCACCTGGGCCTCCTGGCAGACGTCATTCAGGTGGATACGATAGTTCTGCTGGAAGACAGACTTCCCGAGCGCTGTGCCGTGTGTTTTTTTTTTTGCCAGAAGGGAAGCGCGGAGGGGGTGCAAAGCGCGGACGCGCGTGCAGGCACGAATACATTGTCAGTCATCTATCTAGCCACATACATCGCCGCTCCCTGCCCCCCCCCCCCCCCCCCCCCCAGGGGCGCCCCTGGGGGGGGGGGGGTGCGCAGCATCAAGGAGGCACACATGCCCCTCCCTCCCCCAATCCCGGTGCGCGGGCTGTGTGGTGCACGAGGACGGTTGATCGTACTGTTCTGAACGAAGTTGGTCAAGGACTTCAGGAGTGACTCGTCGTCGGAGAGCGAGTACTGGTCTGATAGGGGCTGGTTCTCGAAGATCAGGATCAGCCTGTGGGAGCCACGCGAAGGGCGGTTAGTGAATGGGGGCGGAATTGTTTGTATGCGCATGGACACAGGCACACAGGGAGGTAGCGTGTGATGCGATAGTCCGCCCTGCGCCGGGTGGCGGGTCTTGCGTACGTGTTCTGGGACTCGGTGAGCTCTGACAGCGTGAGCCAGCCATCGTGGTCGCGGTCGAAGGCGCGGAAGTAGAACTGCGCGTCGATGGGTCGGCGAATGTCAGAGATGCCAGTCATCCAAAAGGGGGGCCGCCAGCCAGCGGCGGCGCGGTGGGGAGATGGCCAAAGCCAGCAGAGGGCCTCTCCTCCCTGGCCGGCCGAGCGGCAGGCAGGTAGGTGTGGAACGGGAAAAAAAAGAAAGAGAACCAGTGAGTACGCACCTGGAGCCGGCGTTCTGGGGTTTCGCGACACATGGTGGCAAGGACATGCATGACGACAGGCAGGGTCACCGGAACCGTGAGAATATCGTCAAGGGAAATGAGCTTCTGCCCGAGGGCGACACTGGCGATCTTCTCGGCCAGCTCAAGCAGGGCCCAGGTGGACGGGTGCTGGCCAGCCGCGGCCGAAGCACTACCAGGTCCGGAGGGAGAGCAGGAGGAGGAGACTCCCACCGGCACCGAGGCCGAGGCTTTGATATCCGGCGAGTTGGTGGGCAGGCGGAGCTGCTGCGCGGCCTCGGCCTCGGCCTCCGGGCTCGAACCGGTGCCCGGTGCCGCTTCCAGGGGCGGCGAGTCGCCCACAATGCCGAAGGAATGCCGGGGGTTGACGGTGTCTTCGGCAGCCTCGCCAGCACCGGGGCCCGGCCCCGCCGGTGTCTCCACCAAGGCCGCAAACACAAGCCGGGCCACGGCTTCCGCGAGTTCCAGCGGGGACGCCGCCTGCAGGGCCTGCGGATCGATGTGCTGCAACGCGGCTGCCGAAGACAGGAGCCCCGAGCCGATGCCCGCCCCAGGGCAGGTCCCCACCGCCGGACTGGCCGACGAGAGGTCCCCCCCACAAGTGGCCCCAAAGAGCGAGGGGCTGGCATCACCGATATGCGGCGAGGGAAGGGCCGCTCCTGCCATACTTCCAAGACCGAGACCGCCACTGCCGGCGGCCGCCTGAGCCTTGACCGCGGCCGCGGTGATGGCCACGATGGCCGACCCCCGGGCAATCAGCTGGCACTGGTTATACAGAAGCCGGATAAATGGAGGCAGCGGGGCATTGGTCGAATCCAGAGAACTGGACGCCAGCGACTGTGTCGGGCTAGGAATGGGTTTGCCCCCCCCCCCCCCCCCCCCCGGAGGACCGTGGCAGGAGAGTCAGAGCAAGGTAAAGGGAGGGAATGCATGTTCAAATGTGGTCGGGCAGCATGTGCATCGGGCGAGCATCGGCCCCCCACATGGCATGACGGCCAGGGCATGGGCGCACCTCGGATTGATCACACGCTGGGCAAGCTTTCTGAAGGCCCAGGGGCCGGGGATCGACGACACGATCGAGGCGAACTCGCTGTGATCGAGATAGGGGCCCAGATGATCCCCAGGCACGAAGCGATAGGCCATCGGCAGCGGAGTGGATGAGAACACGGGACAGGGGGGAGAAGAGGAGGGAAGAAGGAGTCAGGTTGGGTGTCGGTAGCGGGGTGCTGGATGTCAGCGGCTCTCGCCCCGGGGTGCCGGGGGGGGGGGGGGGGCTATGTGCCGTACCTCTCGGAAATGTGCCGGCTCTCCAGGGTGTTGTGCTCGAACTTGACACGCTTCACAAGGTCGTAAATGGCGCCCATGTCGCCGAAGGATAGGCTCGGAGCCACGCCGGCCGTCTCGATGGTGCGGAGCTGAGATTTGCGCGAGGTGGACTCGATCTTGCAGGCCACCTCAAGGCGGTACTTCCCACGGAGCTTGTTGATGATGTCATAGGTGATCGACCGGAATTGTTTGGAGGTGGCGTCGGCGAGGATGGTGGTGAGGGTCTTCTGCTGGGCATCGTCGCGCAGGCCGGAGAAGAAGTCCTTCAGCAGGTGGATGATCTCGTCGTCATCCTGCAGGGCAATGATGCGCTTCTGGTTGTGCTTGAGCACGGCCAATCCGAAGACAAACAGGAAGCGCGGCCCCTCGAGGAAGAACATGTCCATCACCCGCAGGGCCGAGGCCAGGGGAACCGCGTTCAAGTAGAGGCACACGAACCAGGGGACACTCAGCAAATTGAGGTCCACGCCGCGCTGGTCCAGGTGCCGGAAGAGGCACGGCAGCTCGCGGAATACCAGGTACCGGAAGACATGCTGATCAACAACTGCGCCGATCATGGACTTCGTATAGTACGAGGGGAGAATCCGCTCACAGAGGGGGGCGGGGGGGGTGAGAGTGTGTGTGGGGAGCGGAGGGGGGGGGGTGGGGGGGGGGTGGGGTGTTGTGCGGTGGGCGGGGGGGGGGGGGGGGGGGGTCCGATGAGAGGGAGACGCCGGGGGAGGCAGAGAGCAAGGGGCACATGAGAGGGCAAAGGGAAGGAGGGAGAAAATGGAGGAGGCGGAGCCAGCGCGCCTGACGCACCGGGCTCCGGAAGCTGGAGAAGAAGGACACTGGCGATGATGTTCATGGATTGGCAGTAGCCGAGACTCGGATTGCGCCAAGAGTAGGCCGTCAACACGCGCCGCAGGGAGGAGATGCCGACCTGTGATGCAGGGATAGCAAGAGGAGAGCATATTGGGTCAGAGATCAAGAAGGGTGTCTTAGCCCCCCCCCCCCTCTTCCAGGCTGAGGAGGGCTTGTGGCATTTGCATGTGTGTATGTGTGTGTGTGTGTGTGTGTGTGTGTGTAGGTGCGAGGGGAAAGAACAGGACAGGCGGGGCGGGTGGGGCATATGCGTACATCCGACTGGAAGGCCGGGTGCTCGGGAAGACTCCGATGCAGGTCCATCTCGATCTCGTCCAGGGTCGGGGTGTGCTTGTTTCGGTTGCCCTCGAGAAGATTGAGGTAGTACTCGTCCGAGGGCCGATCGATCCAGGACCCGCTCAGGCGCATCCAGATCGTGGGCCGGAGGTGTGACGGGATGCCGTGGATGCAGCCTATGTTGTTGGTGTGTATGTGTGTGTGTGTGTTTTGACCGAGGATTTGGCAGAAGGGATAGCGACAGTTAGCGCCACAAGATGCTCACGACTCGAATGGTGTAGAATGGTAGGCGGAGCAGCACACGCACAGTCGCTGACCAAGGAGAGGGAGCGGTAGAGGCAGCCCGAGCCAAGATGGGTGCCCTTCATGATGGCTTCCCAGCGCTGGTTCGAGGCCTCGAGTTCGCTCTCGGAGGGCTCAAGACCCGAGGTACTGCACAGTGCAGGAGGGAAAAAAAGGGAGGAGGGAGGGCACAGGACCAGAGCGCGGGCCGAGGCGCATGTCCCCATGTGAGTCACGGTTGGCGTGGCGTGGGGGAGGAGGAGGAGGAGGAGGGGGAGGAGGAGGAAAGAAGCAGAGACGCCATATGGTGGAGGCATCGAGAAGAAAAAAGAAGAAAGGAGGCACAAAATAAGAGGCGCACCTATCGGGCGGAAAGTAATCGTTCAGGGTTTTGGTGGACACAGTCCCGGCAGCCGTGATGGTTGGCAACAGACCCAAGGGATGGAAGGAAACATCCGGCGAGGGCAGACCCCCTGCACGAGGGAGGTAAAGGAAGGGGTCGGCCAGGGTTGGGGAAGAGGCAGGCCCGCCGCCGCCGGGGCCCCCATAGGCGGCCGCCAAATGCGAGGGTGAATGCCAGGCCGCCGCGACGCCCGATGGGACACCGCCAGGGGGCGGCATCGAACTGGCCGGCGTTCCATTGGTGCTTCGCTGGGCAGCCATCTGGGCCATTGACGAGGAGTATGGATAGCACACCGAGCGCAAGTGCAGCAGGAGGCTGTCCTGGAGCTCGTTACCGCCACGCGGATCGCGGATCTGGATGAGTTTGTTCTTCGTGCGGGTGTAAATGGTGATCGGGGCCTTGAAGGCGATATCGCTCCAGGAGCCGGAGGGCTTACCGAAGGATGTGATCTCTGAGAGGGGAAGAACAAACAGGGTAACCGAATCTGTGGCGGGGTGGTGTGCGCCGTCGCGTGCGTGTGCGAGTGGTTAGCCGAAGGCACACATGCAAGCCACTTGTGGCCGGCCGCGAGGAGGGAGAAGAGCAGAAGACGCGAGGGGAGGGGATGGGGGCGGGGCCGAGAGCAGGGGGGGGGGGGGGGGGGGGGGCCACACGACGCTGATGTACCATCCGAAATGAAAGTCAGGAACCGGCTCCACAGGAAGATGTGCCCATAGAGGAAGTGGTTGTCTTCCGGGATGAGGAGCGATGCGCGCCGGTGCGAGAAGAGCTGCTCCTCCGGGGGCAGGCGGAAGAGACTGCGCTGCAACTGACATGTGGTGACCAGCTTCAGTTGCTCGAAAGAGAAGCCCTTCGGCGAGAGGATCTCCTGCTCGTTTGGCAGTGAGGGATGTTCCACAGGAGGAGCCTGTATGCATGTCGCCGCGTCGACATGAAAACAGGCACGCCGACAGGCACGCGGTCGCGCATGATGTTGGTGGAGGCAGGGGAGAGCAGGAATAGGAGTTAGATGCCGCCATACAGCGGGACAAGTGGCCGAGAGGAGCATGTGCGGGACACGCACCGAGTGGGGGGCATGCAGCGGCGAGGCGTGTGCATGTGCGGAGCTCGCCAGATCGGCCATATGCGGAGGCGGGCCCAGGCCCAGGTCCGTGGGATGGTGATCGAAGTCGGCCGACTGGAGAAGCCGGTCAACGGCCAAGTCACTACCGGCGCCCATCAGGGTCGAGGGCGAGTAGCCATAGCCGCCTGGCCCCCCGCCAGGACCGAGGAGCAGCATGTCGCCCGGAGCGGCGATCTCGTAGCCAGCAGCCCCATTCGAGGCATTCAGCTGATCGAAGCCCATGCCAGTGACTGTTGGGGGAGCCACGTGCGGGGACAGAAGCCGGCCATCGGCCGTGGAGTCCGGCCGGAAGAGAGCCACCGGCGAGGAGGCCGTGGCCATCACATGGGGGAGGATATTCCGCCGGGGAGCGGCCATGTGCGGGACATCCAGGCCGTGGTCGCCGGTGAGGAAGCGCTCCACCGGGTTGCTGTAATCGGCCTCCGTGCCGCGGGAGAGGCGTCGCGCGGCGATGTCACACAAAAGGCGCAGGTGCTCCACCAGCCGGGCCGCGTCGATGGAGCCGCCGCTGGCACTGGTACCGCCACTGCCCGTGGGCACCAGAGAAAAGAGGACTGGCGTCCCGCGGAAGAGGCAGATCTGCCGGCCCTCGGACGTGAGGAAGACCGACTCGACGCTGATGAAGTAAACGCGCTCGGTGGCGCCGGCCTCGTTCATGAGCATGACGCACTCCGGCGTCAGGACCAGGGTGGCCGGGGCCGACCGGAACTCCGCATCCAGGATGTCCAGCACCAGGGTCGTCGGATGGCAGGAGAAAGCCTGCTGGAAGGCCTTCGGCAGCTGCAGTGTTACAGCCGGGGCCGGGGCCGACACCGGGACCGGGGCCGGGCCCAAGGCCACCGAATCGCTGGATTGGTCGCCGGCCAGAGCCCCGGGTCCCGCCATGCCGCCCGGGATCAGGGCTGTAGGGGAGTACGCCCGGCCGGGAGGCCCCAGGCTTCCGGCACCGGGTGCCAGTGTTCCCAGGGAATTGGACCGATGGTGCGGCACAAGGCCGGTGGCGGCAGCCAGCGGCGACAGGCCAGGCCCCGGGCTGCGGAAGGAAGCCGACAAGGGCCGGCCGCCGGGGCCAAGCAGATGGGCCGGCAGGGCCACCGGATAGGTTGGGCTACCGGCACCGGTGACCGGCAGCAATGGCCCACTGGCCGAAAGACGGAGCTCACCCTGTCCCAGGTCGAAGGAACCGTGGCGGTGGATCAGCGAGGGGGGCAGCCGATCGCCGGTGGCAGATCCCGGCGGTGAGAGGCCCAGATCCGAGGACCCAATGGAGGAGGGGGAATCCGGCTCGCGAGATGGCCGGAAGAAGGCATCCTGATGGAGGGACAATGGCCGGAGCAGGCCACCAGGCCCGACACCACCATTGGCCGAACCATCGACATAGGGGGACCCATGCAGGGAGGCGCCCCCGGCGTGAAGGCCGACCCCGGTCGAGGGGTAGATCGCTGAGAAGGGTCGCGCCATGCCGCCACTGGGGCCGGAATTGGCCCGAAGCAACGACGGCGTCGGGATGTAGCTGGATGGCGGGGTGTCGAGCTCGCTCTGGCGAGCACTCCCGCCGGAGGACTCGGCCCGGAGGGGTACCCCCCCGGACGACCCGCGTGATGGCCCCCCTGCGGCCCCCCCGGACCCCGGGGCCTCGTAGGCCAAATCCTGCGGAGAGGCAAAGAGGTCGTGGCCCGCGGCGGCCAGCGCCGGGGCCGGGTGATGCGATGGCCGCTGCAAGTCACCGGGCTCGGGCTCAGGGGGGGCGACAGCGGCAGAGCGGCCGGTGGCGCGTGCCTCGGCCGTCTCAACCCCCATGTTGGCGGTCAGCTCATGGATCAGAGACTCGTCCGACTCATCGCCATGGGCCTTGGTGGTGAAAAGCTTCAACAGCCAGAGGTCAATGTGCTCATTGAAGCCGGGGAAGGGCATTGGCCCGGCATCGGCCGCGGTCGAGACGGACCCCGGGCGGGGGGTGGTGCTTGCAACTTGTGATGGGGGAGGGGCATCCGAAGACCCAGGGGGAGGCATGTGCGAGAGGCCAAGAGAACTGCGGCGATCGGAGGGCGGCGGTGGTGCACCGCCGGCCGGACTGGCATCCCGCAACAATGCCTCCGATAGGGAAGAACGAGAGGAGGGTGGCGATGGGACAAACGCATAGAAGAGCTCGCGCTGCTGTTGCTGCTCGGCGGCGGTGGTTGCGGCCATCGCGGCCGCATGTCCGCGCACAGGCAGAGGAGCGGTCGATTGCCGATGCCCGGCGATCCGCCCGGCGCCGAGGGCGTCCTCGGCCGGCAGCGATGTCAAAAGCTCGGTCAGATCCAGGGAGGACCGGCGCCGGGCCCAGGCCGGCCCGGCTGAGGGGGGTGGGGTCGGCGGCGAGAGCGACGACGAGGGCATGGCCGAAATGGGCGGGGACACCACAGACTGGATGGCCTTATTCCCGGAGGGACCGGCAGGTCGTTGGCCCGGGCCGGGGGTCGGGACGCATGCCGGGCAAGTTGGCGTGTGGAAGGTGCTCCCGCAAGGGGCGCACTGGCCGACACCCGGCGCCGAGTGATGATGAGAGGGGTGGCCGCCGGCGGCCAGAGCGCCGACTGAGGATGAGGCTGAGGCTGACGTCGAGGCGGTCGAGAGGCTGGCGCTGGGGTCCGGTCCCAGATGGAACCTGGTATGCGGGCGGAAGGTCTGGGTGTCATCGGCATCCCGGGGATCCCCGCCGGCGGCCAGGTCCAAGGAGTCGTCCCCGGTGTCGGCCATCAGTGGGAGGCTCGGTGAACCGGGCAGCGAGCAGGAGGGCGACTCGGTGCTGGAGAGCTTTTTGGTCAGAGGCCGGTTGGCAGCGATGGTGGCCGGGGTCGGGGGGGCTGGTTGTTGCTGCTGCTGCTGCTGCTGGTGGTGGTGGTGGTGGCTGGAACAGTCCGGCTCAGGCTGGCCACCGACGCTGGGGCCACCACCGGGGGGGGAGCCTCCCGAGGTAGGGCACTCCGGAACAGGGAGCGATGTATGGGACGGGGGACCAGAGCCGGGGGTGCTTGGTCCGGCGGCGTCGGCTAGTAGCTGGAAAGACAGGCTGGAGGAGGTGGGCGGAGCATGGGCGTCATCCGATGTGCGGAAGGGAGATGGAGGGGTGTCGCGGAAGCGCCCGCTAACCGAGCGCGATGCCAATCCCGGGGAGGCGGTGGGGATCTCAAGCCCCGAGGCAGCGAGGGCAGCGGTGGCGAAGGCAGCCGAAGTGCCGGGGCCCGGCATCGACATCACCTCTGCCGACGTGGGAGCAGCCCCGGTGGCGGGCCCAGGGAAGGATGCCGTGGGGCTGGTGCCATCGATGGGCGAGGTGGAGATCATCATCACTTCGGACACCTTGCGGAAGGGGACCTGCTCGATCCATGTCCAGTCGACGCGGATGGCCTCCAGGGTATTGGCCACGGACACGACAAACTGTCATGACGGAAGGGGGGCAGACGGTGCCGGGGAGGTGAGATGGGCCGAGGGGGCAGATAGACTGGTACATGCATGTGCATGTGTGCGTGCGGGTGTGCGTGCGGGTGTGCGTGCGGGTGTGCCATGCCCATGTCGCGGTGAAGGCCATCATATGTGGGGCGAGGGGGGGGGGGTGGGGGGCTCGGAACATATACCTTGCAACTCCGATGCCGAAGGAGAATGCGAAAGCGGAACTGGCTATCATCGCCGGAGGAGATCCGGAAGGCAACGTCTTTGGCCGAAAGGGGGGCGCTCCCCCGGCCACCGGAGGCACCAGCTGTCGGGGATGTCGAATAGGGCGACGTGCCAAGCAGGCGGGCCGCTAGAGATTTGACCGTCAGTGGGGTAGACTGACGCTCCTGCAGCAGGAAGAGCGAGTTCTCTTCGATCTCAGACCAGGCACCGGGCTGGTCAGCCGAGTCGATCTTGATGGGGAAGATCCACATCCTGAGGGGCTACGGAGGCGAGCGTAGGTGTGCGGAGAAGCCGCGGCCGGCGGGAAGGAGGGGAGAGGAGGGGGGGGGGGGTCGAGCCAAGCCCACTCACTGGCGGGCGGGCGGGCGGGCGGGCGGGCGCCTCGTTTTCTCTCGCTCTCTCTCTCTCTCGCTCCCTCTCTGCCGTGCGCTCGGTGTGGAGTGGGGCGGAGGGCACGGGCCAGGAGGGCGGGAGGAGACAGACACGCGGCTCGGGGCAGGCACAGGGCGAAGGGGCGTGGGTGGGCGAGAGAGAAAGTGGAGAGGCCAGGAGGTGGAGAGGGCGCGCCAGCGGTAGAGAGGGTGTGTGTGTGTGTGTGTGAGGGAGGGAGGGAGGGAGGGAGGGAGGGAGGGAGGAAGGGAGAAGGTGAGAAAGAGAGCTGGGCCCGGGCAGCAGGGAGGGGCAGGAGGGGTCTGTCGCGGCCCCTCTGCGACGGGGGGATCTGGGTGGTGAGTCAGAAATGTGGCAGCGGTAGCGGGAACACAGGTGGGTGGGTGGAGGGACTGATGCGCTTGCAATCTGGAGGGGGGGACTTGTGGACGGCCGGGGGAGGAAGACAGAGGAAGAGAGAAGAGAGACAATTACCGAGGGGGGGGGGGGGGGCCGGTGATGGTGCCTCACACCGGGTCTCTTCCGAGCGAAGGAACAAAAGGGGACCGTGATGCTGGCGGGCCCGGGACGGGGGGCGCAACAAGCAGCTCGCATGGGGCCCTCCGCATCCTGCCCCAGAGGCGTATCGGCGAACCGCCAGTACCTAACGCATTTGCCCCTTTACACCCCCCCCCTGCCTGGATCGCAGTTTGCCCTACATGGGCGCCGCCATTCCTGGCGGCCTCTACACACAGACCCGAGGGGCGGGGCCTCTCTTCGGTTCTGGGGCGGGGGACGACCGGGCAGCAGCCTTGCTGCCCCTCCCGGGGCGTACATGCCCCTGGTTCGGGATACATTATGTGACACCTTCCCCAAGTGTAGTGGGCATTGAGCTCCGGGCCCGGGGGTGTCCACCCGGGCAATTCCCGAGGCGTGCGGGTCTCGCCGCCCGCCCCCACTCACGCACACCGCCGCCACGGCGGCCCCCACGTTGGCCAAGGTTGGCCGGGACGCGGGCCGGCTATCGGGCCCCGGAGGCCGCCTACCACGCTGGTACCCGGCGCAGGCTGGTTCTCTATCGCCAGCAGCGTGGCTCTATCGCAATGCTGAGGGGTGGGCGTTCGTCGCCCGGCGGCCGTGGGCGACCAACGGTCTTCCGGCCCCCGCCCCCCCCCCCCCTGGGGGGGGGGAGAGTCGATCCTTGCCGGCTCGCACACAAAGACCAGGGATCCTGGCGCGCGAGTGGGCCTCCATCCCCCCGCCCCCACCGCCCCCAAGGGGCTGAGGGAGGCTGGGGCACTGTAGGCGCCGGCACAGCACAGGCGCGTGCTGCCGCACGCGGACAGAACGCCGGGGGGGGGGGAGGGGGCACCTCTGGGGACGCCCCCACATCTGGCCGAAGCGCCCCCGGATTCCGAACCCCGGAATCCCCCCTGGGACGATAGTCGCGAGGAAACGCGCGTGCCGCGGAGATGAAGCAAGGGCTCGCGGCCGCGGCGCGGAGAGGGAGCATGCATAGGAGGACTCGGGGGGGACCGCACGACGATAATCACCCTGGCATGGGCGCCGGAGCGCGCGCGCCGGTCGTCCTCCCCGGGGACGGGGCCCTGCGAACAGTCTCGGGCACAATCGGGGGAGCCAATCTCACGCTGGTGTTCGTGGGTAGGCGCGTGCGCGCGCGCGCGCCAGACGTTGGCCAGGGCCAAGACCTCGGTTGCCGGGAACCGGCACATCGCGGCCCAAAGCAGTGCGCCCTTGTTGTCGGAGGGCAGTGAAGCTCCCCCGGCCCCGCATCCCCCGCGGGAGGAGGGAGGTTCGGGCGCGCGCGCGCGCGCAACGCACAACAGGGCCATCCACCCTAGCCCGAGGTGCCATCTATCCCGGAGGGGGGGGGGGGGCCAGGCCAGGGGCACCAACGGCCCGGGTGCCAGATAGCACCCGGGCTGCGTGTGTCTCTCGATAGCACACGCGCGAGAGCCCGGGCGCGTCCCTCCGTGGCCGGGGCGTCAAGGCACCCCGAGGATCAGGAGGGCCGCGGGTCCCTCAAACATGGGCGAACAACCGGCCGGCGCGCGCCTGGGGCCGATAACCAAACGGGTGTTTTTCCGTGATCGCGCGCGCTGCTCGGGAAATCGGCACCGGCCCTGGGCCGGCAATCGGATGCCGGGCCGCCGTGCGGGTTTGAAAGCGAGGCGCCCCCTGTCCATTCTCCCGACGCAACGCGCGGCCCTGCCCCCTGCCAGCCCCGTCGCAGCCGACACCAGGAAGAACGGGGAAAACACTAAGAAGCAACACCCCAGGAACGGACGGTGTCCTCCGCCGGTCGGCCCCCCCCTCCCCCCGGGCGTCGACGGCCTGGGCCTCTGGCCCCTCGCCCGCGAGGACAAGTCGGGCGGCGGCTGGCCGTCTGGCGCGATGCGTCTGCCCCGCAACTTGGCCAAGAGCGTCGTTGTGCATGGCCCCCCCCCCCGCCCCCCCCCCCCCTCCGGTGGGGCCGGCCAGCGGGGCTCGTCCGAGGCCAAGTCGGGTCGGGCCCGGTCAGTGTCCGGCAGGCAGCACGGCAGGCATCCCTTGGCTCCATCTCCGGTGCCCCCCCCCCTCCGCCCTGCACTCGGACGCGGTCTTGCTGGCGGCACGCCTGGGCACTTTCAAGTGCTCCGCCCCCCTCTCTCGGGAGGGGGCTCGGAAATGGCGAACCCGTTAGTCTCCTCACTATTGCCGCAGCCGGTTCCGGGGCCGGCGCACCCCCTTTTTCAGATTGATATATATTAGTCGCTTTTATTGGCTTGATTATTGGTGACAAAGTGACGCTCGGGCACGCGCACGCAAGCGGTGCGCGTACAACACATAGGCAAGCGCGCCAGAGGGGGATTAACCCTTCGAGAGCGCGCGGGTCTTCCCCCTTCGAGGACCAGGCAGGCCGCTGTCCGCACACATACACACCCGGGTGAAGGTGCGAGCGGGGCGGCGGGGGGGGGGGGGTACGCACCGCGCTCCATTTCTCCACGGCCAAGGTTCACCCCTCGAGGGTGCAAGGCCTGAGCCAGCCCGCCGGCCCTTTTTCCCGTGTATGAACATACAACGGGGGGCGGAGGATAAAGAGGCCAGAAAGCCACATTCCTCCTCCTTGCATGTATTTCCATCCGTAGGGCCAGCAGATCGGGGGCCGTCCTTCAGCGTCGCCCCAGCGAGCTCAAGCATTGGTTCCTTGGAGGGGGGAGCGTGTTGCCAGACGTTTTGGGGGGGAGAGATCAAAAACGCGCTCCCTGGACAGGCCGAAAGTACGCACCACACACGTGTCCTTCCACACACACTTCACTTATCCAGTGGTATGTCGATGCGTGGGGTCCTCTCGCCGGAGCGTGGCGGATCCCTCTCCCCAGATGCGGCCGGGGCAGGACACACGGAAGGGGGGCGCGGTGCAGGACGCGTACTTGAGCTGGAGCTGGAGCTGGAGCTGGAGCTGGCTGACTTGCGACCGACATGGTACCTCCGTGCGTTTCTCTGAAGGTGGGCCGGCGGGAGAGGATGCCTTGGTGGGGGCGGAGGAGCGTTGGTTGGTCCCGGTTGGTGCTCCGGGCGCATCCAGCCGCCGCGCAAACGGGCGAGTTCGTGGAGACGAGACTCGGCACTTTTCGAGATGTGGCCTTCCTGAGGAGGGGGGCGCCCCCCGCCCGTGGAGCGGCGGTGGGATCCATACTTGGAGGCGTGGCAGGGCCAGGCGATACAGAGGGCGGGGAGGGGGGGGGGGGCGGGGCAGACACGGGCATGTGCTCACGCGCATCCTTCTCATCCTGGTCCGGGCTCGTGTGTGGTGCGTGTCGGGGAACTCTCGGGGCCGGGGAAGGCTAACAGGGTGTCCCTGTCTCGGGTCCACCAGCCCCACCTCAGGCAAGGGCCTCCCGACGGGGGGGGGAGGGGGGGGGCAACAGGGCACAGGGAGAGAGAGAGAGGGCGGATTCCGGCCGCGTCCGCCGCTCTCTTTCTCGGGCGCTCGCGACCGCCCTTTCGCCAGGCATACATGGTGGCCAAGGGAGCGGGGTGCGCGGCCGGGCCTCCCCCCCTCCCCCCCCCCCCCAGAGAGTGGGGGAGGCAGGCCGAGGCGCGGGGTGTGTGTGGGAGAGGGGGGCGGGAACAGGCGCAGGGGGGGGGAGGGGGGGGGGGAGGCGAACGGGCACCTTGGGTGGCCCAGGGCAGCCGCCAGCAGAGAAGCACGGTTCAGGGGGCTGATGAGTTGTTAGAAGTGGGCCCCTGGTGGAGGCTGCCTCCTCAGAGCAGAGGCCTCTACTCATCTGGTCTGTTTGGTATATTCACCCGTCAAATCAGAAAGGAGAAGTGCGTCTCTTCCCCTTCCTCCCTCTCCCCCCCCTTCCAGTGCCTACTTTCGCCCTTTCCTCTTGTATACCCCACACCTCGCCCCCTCCTTTGCCCTGCCCTCTCTCTCTCTCTCGGGCTCTCTGCGTCTGCACGCTACGTGTGTGCCTCCCTGGTCCGATGGGCGCGCTCGTTGCCCTGAGTCCCGGTCTCGCGCTAGACTCATGCCATCGCTGTGGGCCGGTGGTGTGTGTGTGTGTGCGCGCGCGCGCCCTCATGCTCGGTGTCTGCCCCGGGGACGCCCTCCCTTCTCTTCCTCCCCTCCACCAGCGCATCGGGCGACATGTTGCTGCCGGAGACAGCGAAGGGCCGGGCGCCGCCCACCGGCCTCCGTGTGTGTGTGTACACCACCGATGGGCGGATCAGACTCGAGAGGGAGAGAGAGACTGGCCCCGAGGTCAGGGGCCGAGTGTTGTGGGGGGGGGGGCCAACGCACTCGCGTGTATGGATGTGTGCATTGTGCCAGAGGCTCCTCGTTGCGCCCTCCCCCCCCTCTCCGCACCCGATCGTATGATGGTGTCCTGCGTCGCACCCGGGCACTCACAAATGAGTGCCACCACCCTCGCCATGGCGGGATCATGCTCAGCTAACACTCCTCATTTCGGTGTCCCCCTTCCTCCGCCCTCTTTCTCGTCCTCCCACCCCCGTTGTCTCGATTCGGCATCGCCAGAATGACTATCCCCACTGTCACCGTGCGTTTCCCCACAAGCAAAGTCCCTCCCTCTTGCTGTTGCATCTCTCTCTCTTGTCCTTCGTCAGAAGCGCGCGCACACCCTCTTACTGACCCCTCCTTCTGCCGTGTCTCTTACAATGTCCCCCACGTGTCCATACCACTCCTCCCTCCCCATCATAGTCCATGGCTCAGTTCCCGGTCGCTCGCAGCCTCGCCGCTGACTGCCGCAAGTCCAAGACCCTCGCCAAGAACCACAAGAAGAACAAGCCCGCCAAGGTCGTGCGTACCAATTCCCCCCATCTCGGCTGCCCCTCTCCGATAGTCGGATGTGACTTTCGCATTCCTGCATCCGTATGCGGATGTGCCTCTCCTCGTTGTTTGGCCCTTTGCGCGCGCCTGGACCGGGAGGGGCTCCTTTCTCACCCGGCGACTCGCTAACCACTCCCCCTGTCTGTGCTTTTTTGCCCTTCATGACACACAGCGCGCTTCCATCGTTCCTGGTGCCGTCCTGATCCTCCTTGCCGGCCGCTTCAAGGGTACCCGCGTTGTCTGCCTCAAGCAGCTCAACTCCGGCCTCCTGGTCGTCTCTGGCCCCTTCAAGGTCAACGGTGTCCCCCTCCGCCGTGTGAACCCCGCCTACGTCATCGCCACCTCCACCAAGGTCGATATCTCTGGCGTCAACACCGAGAAGTTCACCGACGAGTACTTCAAGCGCCCCGCTGACACCAAGACCCGTGGTGCCGAGGACTTCTTTGCTCAGCACAAGGAGGTGCGTGTGTTGTGTTCTCTGTCGCCCGTGTGGTGGGCGGCGTCGTGCGCGCGCGCGCATGCACGCGCGTCCCCGCCTCTCTCCTCCTCGCGCGTCACGCTCTCGGCCGCCGCTCCCTTTCACTAACCACACAAACCCGCTCTTCCTCCTCCTCCTCCTCCTCTGCACGTCCACGCGCGTGTCCCGGCCCACAGACCACCCAGATCGACGCTGGCCGCATTGCCGACCAGAAGGAGACTGACAAGGCCCTCCTCGCCGCCATCAACAAGACCCCCCTCCTCAAGGGTTACCTTGGTGCCAAGTTCACCCTGAGCAAGGGCCAGTTCCCCCACGCCATGAAGTTCTAAGAGAGAGTGTGCCTCGAAAGGTGTCTCCCCCGCGCCCCCTCTCTTGTCTCCCTTTCAGCTAAGAAACCACACCCCCACAATGTGCTTCTCCCTACACAAAACACACTCCCTTCTCAGCGTGTATTTCCCTCTCCCCTCTTTTCCTCTCTCCGCCGCCGTGTGTGTGTGCTTGCACTGGCGCGACCTGTGTGGTGCCGCCAAGAAGGGGGGGGGCGGGGGCAGGCGTGTCTCTATTTCTCTCTCCTTCTCTCGCTGTTGCTCTGTTTGTGGGCCGTCGTATCGGGGGGGGGGGCATGCTGCATGTGCGCGAGATCTGCCTGTGTGTCTATGTGTTTCGGTGGCTGGGCCTGCTTCTCAGGGGAAGGTGCTGCGTCCGGGACGAGGGAGGAGGACGGTGCGCCTGTCTATATCAGGGCGGGAGGGAGGGGACCGGGAGAGCCTGGCCGATCATGGCTTTCGGGGGACGGGCAGGCGGCGGCCTGGTTCCGGTGCTTGTCGCCGCTCGCACCAAGGCGGGGCGAGGAAACGGGTGGCGATCCCCGGCCATGTCGTCCTTGCCCTGCTATCGTCCTCGGTGGCGCGCGATGGGCGTCGGCCGGGAGCCAACCCCAGTGGTAGTGGTGTCAGGGGAGGGGGGCCGCTACCTACTCTCGTGTCGGCGGTGCGGGGGAAGGGCCAGGCAGGGTGCCGACGGCGCCCACCTCCCATCTTCCTTTCGACACCCTTCCCCTTCGCGAAGGTCTCCACGACAAACGCGAAGGCCTTTACACCCTTTGCAATCTTGCGATCCCACGTCGCGGACGGAATCCACGTCGCACCCGGAATCCCCGTTCGTTGGCCGCTCCACGTTGTATTTCAGCCACACGGCTCCGTCTCTCCCCCCCTATTTCTTGGGTATGGATGGATCTTCCCTGAGGATCACCCCGCCAGTTGGTGGGCGCCGACGGGCGGCCGGCAAGATCGGGACCAGCCTTCTTCTCCAGCGCCCCTCCGCCGCCGCGCCCGGCAGGGAGCTCATTCGGCAGCCATTGCTGCGTCGCTTGCCTCCCTCGCGAATGTGGGAGCCGGCTAACACGTCGGAGGGCACGGAACGTCCCGACAGAGATCCATCGGGCGGAGGGGGGGGGGGGGTCCAACAGCACTTGCAGCTGGGTCATCCGTCGGCAGGCATGCCCGCCAAAGATCCGGGCCCACACCCGCAGATGCCAGCGCATTCCGGTGGTCATGATCAGAAAGTCAGATGACAATACCTCTACCAAGGGCCCGGCGGTCGAGGGTGCAAGACCGCTCCCAAATGTAACATGTGACTCGCGATAGGGTTGTGCCCCGTTCTGACGAAACCCATCGATGTCTGAGCAAGTATGCCGGGGGGAACGCGCGCAGCAGAGAGGGGCGGCCAGTCGAAGCAGGCCAACCAGGCCGCGCTCCGCCCCGAGGCGCCCAAACACCCAGCAAGAGAAAGCCAGGGCGAGAGGGACTGTGCCTCGCAAGCATGGGGCACTTCACTGGAGAGGTGACACTCGATGGGAGGTGGGGCGCGGAAAGTCGAATCCGCCCAAGAGATACGGCAACTCTGCCGGGCCTCCCCCGGGGCGAGGGACGCACGAAGGCGGGGAGAGTGCCGTCTGTGAGAGGGACAGGGGTGTGACGGTGGCTCGCGCACAGGGATGCAAGGTGCGGCCGGCCGGTCCTGGGACCGCGAACTGGGGGTGTCTTTTTAGGGGGGCCCTCGACGGTGTGCTGATGATGGGTCTGCGGGTCCACCACTCGGCGCCCAGCGCCGCCCCCCCCCCCCCCCCCCCCCTGCCGCTGCCCTGCGCCTTCATCTGGGGTTCTGGCTTCGTGTGTGGGGGTCCAGATTCCTGGATCGAGTGCGGAGCTATCATATGTGGCTCGGTCACTGGCATCCGTATGGACCCCAGTGATGAGGACCCGGCGTCGCCCCTCCGCGGGGGAACGCACATGACCCCAGAATGGCACCCTGGCCCTGGAGGTCGCAGGCTGGTGTCATTAGCGGCGGCTCGCCCGCGCCCCCCTTCCTCTAGCGCCCAGGCAGGGGTCAAGGGCTTTTAGCTCGCCTCGGGAGGTACCCGTCCCGTAGGCTTTCAACCAACGGTGGATCAACAGGCCGCAAGTGATGCCTCCGGCCC